TAAGGAATCGGCTACAAAGAAATGCTTGACAACTACAAATCCACCGATTTAAGTCTACAAAATAACGCTCTTCATCTCTATCAGCAACTGGCCTTATTATAAGTTGCTTCCAGTCACTTTTAAATTCATCAAACCAACGAGGTGTGATTCATTTTAAACATATTTGATTAAAATGAATAACTTGATCAGGAACTACACATGTACAAATAATCCAAAGAAGGTAGTCCAATCGTGGTCGATTGAATCTATAAAGATAACAATGCTTAACAACTCGCCAATGAGATTCAATAAGCATATTTGTTTTACATAATGGAATTGTAATTCGTGTTGAACGGGCCCAGAGTACCCATCTTGTTATTTTGTACCATGATTGCCACATATAAGCCCAAAGTAAAGTAAGCCTATTCTCAACACAAAACTTATAAATTTCATGAACCGCATTTCTTCGAATTTCATCAGCCATAAGAAACTGCCCTATAGCATTAATTGAAATTTTTGGATGCATATTAAAATGCTTCCTAATTATATTTATAACTTTATCTCGTAAATATAATGGACACATTATGTAATACTCAGGCTCAGTACGTTCAAGATTAGGTTTAAATGCAGGGATCGACAAAATCAAATTCTGCTATTGCATCATTTGGCTGATATTGACTATAATAAATTTGTTTATGACTTTTAAGTTTTTCTCTAATAGTCTTTAAAATAATTAAAAATATATACATTAAAAAAAGATATTTAATATTTTAATTCGAATAGCAAAAAACTACAAATACTAATATAAAAATTATATTAACCTTCTCTATATGCCATAAGCAGGTTGTATATCAACATGAGACCACACTTCTTTCGCAGCATTGATTTCTAAGAAATCTTTGTCTGTATAAAAATATTGTGGTTGTAATCCTTTATCACGAAGTGAGCGAAAAAAAACAGTAAGTGCAGTTGTTCATAGACCTGATTGCTCTTCATTATTTTGTGCTTTTGTAGTATTTAAAACAAGATAGGCTATAGGAAAACCTGTTCCTTCAAAATTTCCAATAATTCTATAAAGTTCAAAATGGCCTTTGGCCGTTTTGTATGTTGCATCACAATGCACACTTAATAATGGTAACAATTTAGTAAATAAAGGAGTCGTAAATCCAATGGCTGTAACTGAGTTGGTATTCCAATCAAAACAAAGCTTATTAGCTTTGGTATAAGGCCCTTAAAAAAATTTGTGAGCAGAAACTATATGATCATTATCAGATTTGTATAAACGTTGACAATATGGGGGTGAGTCAATAAAAATCAAGCAAATTTTTATAATAAATTTTTTTTATAACTTTAAACAAGAATAACTTAACAAAAACTTGACCAAATTTAATAAAAATTTTTTTAAATAATTTTTAAAAACTTGTAGAATTAATTTAAAAAAATTTTTATTAAATTTGATCAAGTTTTTATTAAGTTATTCTTGTTTAAGATTTTAAAAAAACTTACTAAAAAAAATTTGCTTGGTTTCTATTGACTCAACCCCATATATTGACCACCAATAATGTATCTGTTTATTAGTAGTAAGTAAAATATTAAATGTTTGATGAGGATGTGCCCGTAACTGTATGGGATCCATGTGAAAGTTTTTTATGATTTCATTTTTTACATCTGATGGTGTTGATATATCAATAAGTTTCTCATGCTGAATATTATGATAAAACCTTACTATTGCCTCTTTTGCTAGTATATTAATGCGAATTGTTAGTTTACCATGGCAATTAAAATGTATAGTTCTCTTTCGGTTAGATTCTTTATGTTCACGCTCAAGTTCTTGGTATTGTGAACATAAAAGATAGAATAAACCAATGCCATGATGCCGCAATAACATTTCAGGCCCAGTTGTAAAAACCCTCATATCCGTAAACCCTTCAATTTCATCTACTATTTGTCTTACTAAATTTTTTGCATCGTGTTGTGCAGTATTCAATACAACATCATCAAATTCAATGTGAAGATTAAAAGACAACATGACATTTTCTCCAAGATTAGTGATCTTATTAGTAATATATTCGGTAATTTTGGTAAAAGAAATATTATCATAAACTTCTTCTTCATATTTATTATCATCAGGTGAAGTTTGTTCTTTTAATTTTCATTTTTTTTGATCTTGTATCTAAACAATTAAAGCATGTTTTATTCTTTTTTCCTTTATAAATAAAGTATTCTGCGGGTAATGGTTTTATTACAAGAAGTACAGTAACCCATATGAAACAAGACTTTGTGATTGTAAAAGTTTGTTATAATTCAAGAGAATTAATTTAATTCTATTAATTTATTATATATAAGCAAAATTTATCGTTTGATTAATAAAATGATTTCGCTTAGTAATAATATTGATACGATCAATAATCGGATCAAAGATCGATCTGAGGGTCGGAATCACATATGCGGACAATTCCCTCTACATGCTGTGTCTTTCTTATATATGTACGTACATAATACTTGTATAACTATTAAGGATGTTAAGCTCTAATAGTTCTCTTGATTTGGATTTATAACACTTATACATGTGATCAACACACTTAAATTAAATAGTCCACGGGGAACTGGTTCAGACCAGGTTCATAGCAGACTTTTTAAGGACTAGTAGGGACTAGTTCAGTACTGGTTAAAAACCAGTTCAGCTCTCACATAATATGAATAGAGTGACATTTTTAACACATTAAATAAAATTTGATAAAATACAAATTAATAACAATACACCCTGAGTAGTGGTACTTTAAATAAATTTGCTAATTGGAAAATCAATGACAGATACTCTAATTGGTGTTCGATCAATAATGGTAAAGTTTGTAATAAGAAGTATTATAAAATCTGTATTAAACTGTTAGGCAAAACTATTATAGAACTCATTTTTAACAAAGAAGTGAACTAGTTTTCAACTAGCCCTGGGCTGAACTTTTATGGGATGTACCAGGACTAGACCAGATGCACCACTTAACATCTCTAAAATTAATCAGATTCAGGGTGATGCAATAATGAATTCAATATATCTGGAGTAATTACTATGTAACAACAATAAAGAAAATACGATATACAAAAAATAATAAAGAAATGCAATATAAAAAAGTTAATAAAACAATAGTAAAACAAAACTATAAAATTATAACTCATTGAGAAATCAATTCTTATTATAAACCATTAAAGACATTGAAGTCTGAGAAAACTTCATTAAGGTGAAAACTTAGACTTTTAAATATATTTTGATTTACTAAGAGGTACTGTGTCATCTTTTAATATCAACTCTATCTTCCCAGTAATAACACATCAAAAAAGCTACTAACAATTTGCTTACATCTTGTGCTCTTCACAATTCTCACAACCAAGAGCCATCAATAAACTGTTTATCTAACAATTTATGCCCAAAAATAACTGGTTTATCTAACAATTGTAGCACATAACAATCTATTGTATAATCGTATTTACTATCTATCATATGATGGAAATAATAATCATCAGGGATTGATTTATGTCTCTAAGCCTCCACCAGCAATCTAGAAGCATTACAATATTCTTGTAGCTCGGGCCACTCTCGGGTCCTTTGAGCTATTAGTACTACCAAGTCACATCCAGATTATGAGTTAAATTTTAAGCCGTTGTGACTATCAGGTTGGGAGAGCATCAGTTTAGTTGATGCCAGATTAATTAAGGATAGTCAACCAAGTATGGGTCAAAAGGGTAATATGGTGTCTTATTCAAGATGTAGGAAAACCAAAGTGGGGTAACAGGTTAGTAAGTATTGTTGCAGATATAAAATGGGCGGGTTTCTATTTAGAGAAGGATGGGTTCCTACGTAATATAATTTAAGGAATACATGTAGTAGAATCGGGATATATAGATGGCCGAATTAGTTGATTGTGTATTGTTAACAATCCCAAATGAGGATTGATTTAAGGCGTAATGGGGTATTAATGTATTTTAACAATAAGGTATATGAACATAAAGATGTATTTACATAAGATAATAACAATACTGTGAAGATATATTCATGATGAATAATAAAAATCAAAAGAAATAAAAATAGCAAACGTGCATTAAAATAACTTAATACTAACAAGAAGTGTGGATAAAATGATAACAATACGATTTATAGTTTTAAGGCTTCACTCAGCCCTGAAATTTTAGTTATAAAAGACAATTGAGATTTTTATTGAGAACAAAGTCTGAGATCTCTTTAGTAAAGGCAAAAAGCCAGTCCTTAAATACATAATTTTGAGTATATAAATTAATAAACTATTTTACTAATAGTTAAATTTCTCTTCGTCTTTTTTTACTTCAACACCAATAATATCTCTCTGTATTGCTGAAAATGACAATATTTAAATGCTTCATATTTATCTTTTTCAATAAATGTAAATAAATAACACATGGGTCAGACAAATCAGCTGTCTAGACTCACACTAAACTGTATAAACTTTCTCAATAAGGCATTATTAGCATAAAAGCCTTATGACAAACAAGATTGATTGGTTTTATTAAAATCAGGTAACAAAATTTCAGGATTTCTCTTCGCTAAAAGGGGTTGTGGAATATTGATTTATCTAGACTAAATCAAATTAATGTTGATTATCAGATGCCAAATGTCGAACTGGTTTGTCAAACCTCGAACACATTGTACAGATTTTGCCAATTATAGTAATATCGATATGCAAGTATAAAGGTTACAAATATAGAAAAAATGATATATGTATGCGAAATGTAGATAAAATAAAAATCAGCTAATGGTATGACTGCCAAAAATAATGATAATATATTTAAAAAAAGATATATAAAAAAATAATAGTAACAGGGTCTTTCTCTAAATTTTCGAGGGATGATCTGTTTCTGAATCACCATTGGGTTAATCATAATATCGTTTAAGACAATTGCTATAAACCCCATTTTATGACTTTATCATCAAGAGTTCTCAACTTGTAAGCCCCTTTTCCGAGAACATCATAAATATAAAAAGGGCCTTCCCACTATTCTTCCAACTTTTCTTTGTGCGTCACCACCAGCAAAGAACGAAACCTCAAGACCTTTTTGCCAATAGAGTAACTTTCTATTTGATAGTATTTATCATGTTTTTCTTTATGTCTTAATTGAGCTTTCAAGATTCTTTCTCTAGCATCAAATTGTGCTTGAGGTAATTTTCCCAACAAAACTTCAACACTCTGAAGAATATTTTCTTGAAGGTTTTGTTTATTGGCTGGAGGAACTTTCGGTGTAATTTCAGCAATTTTCTCAGTCAAAGTGGCATCTCTTCTGTATAACAGATAAAAAGGTTCATATCAGGTAATGAAGTGTTTGATGGTGTGATAGACAAATAGAGTAGCTGAAAGATACTAGTTCCAATCACCTGAGAATTGCATAGTACACTTAGCTAGGACATTACAGAGAGTATAGTTGAAACATTCTACAAACTCATTGGTTTGGGGGTGGTAGCTAGATGAAAATTGGTGATGCACTTTAAGTTGAGTGCAAATTGCCTCTATCAAATTGTTATTGAAATGTTTTTCTTGGTTATAAAGTAGTTCATAGGGCTGCCATGATGACAGATTATATCTTCTATTATAAATAAAGCTACCGAAGGAGCTGAGACGTCTAACATAGCTTGTGCTTCTGGCCACCTGGTTAAATATTTGGTGGCCACTACAATATATTTGTTTTCAATTTTGGTGGAAGTTAGGGACCAACAATGTCTATCCCTACTCTATCGAATGGCTTGCTGAATTTAATTGGGTACAAGGGTTATGGGTTCTGAGTCTGCTCTTGCATTGACAAATATCACACGATTGAACATATTGTCTAACACTATTGTCTATTTGGGGCCAAAAATAACAGACAGATATTCTATAAAGGGTGAATATGCATTAAAATGTCTGGAAAGCAGGTTGAAATGCATGCTGAAAAGAACAGGTTGGATTTCGTGTATCAATAAAACTCAAAGGAGTTTATAAAGTAGTAAATGATGTTTTTTATACAATAATTTATCGAGAACTATGAAGTAACAAGTACATTGTTTTAGAAGTCTATATTGCTTAAGTGGTAAAGTAGGCGAGTAGTTAGGGCCAGAAAGAAATTTGACATATGTTTGATATTGTGTTAGATCCATGTTTAATGACCAAACTAAAGTTTTAAAATATAGTGTATAATAAATAGATTTTTAAATAATAACAAATTATGATAAGTTTTAATAGTCATAATTGTAAGAAATTGGCAGGGTAATAGTTAGGGTCCCATAGCCTAGTGGTCTAGGCACCTAACCCTCCACAGACAAGGTCGACGGTTCAATTACAGCTGGTGGTAATTAATTTAATTAATTATATCTGTAACCTTCGGTGGCTTTTGAATATGAAACCCTGTGGCAGTAAGACCATGTGAAGTATATATTTGGCCGATAAAGAATTCTTGGAAGGAGTCCCGAGCCATGGAGAAGATCAGGCACTGCGTGTGACATGGGTCATAGAAGGTAATACTGCAGAAGGCTGTGCATGTGAATCTGCGATTGGCAAGGTAGCACCAACAACTCTAAGGTGGCATTGGGATCTTGATTGGGAGGACAGTTGAATGCGATATATCCAGAAGTGGTGAGAGAAGCAGTGAACATAATAAGGGCTGTGGTAAGAGAATGGCTTTACCAAATATGGAACACCTCTAGTACAAGAAAACAAGGAAAACCGGCTAAAAGAAACCCAAGAAGCATGGAAGCAAGCGTTCCGGTAGTACGAAAATAAAGTTGGCCAGTGAGTAATGTGTCACACAACTTATATGGGAGTTGTGGAAACATGATGAAACATGGCAGAAGCGTGGGTCCCGAGTTACTGGCTTGTGACAGTAATTAAATGAGGTACTCAACTCCCGTTCTAAGGATCTAGACTTCTGTAATACCATACTGATAGGGAGTACTATAAAAGGAGTTGTAGCCTAATTTGGTGGTGTACAATGTGAATACCTGAACAGCTCTCCTAATGGTGGCAGCAGATGGCTTGAAATACGGGTCTTTGGACGGCAGCAGCACCTGGCTTGAGATACGGATTAGAAACTGAAGTAACATCTCGAGGAACACCAAACTGGAAGCAAGAAGAGCGCCCACTCCTAGAACACCAATTTGGAAGTTATACAAGAAACAGATTAGGAGTAATGTGATAAGTGATGAGGAGTGAATTATAACTGGTAGACGTTGTACAGTAGTATATATAGTGGGGTATATACGAATTAGTAAAAACATTAAGGTTCTGAGTTAAATCAGGACTTAGGGTGCTTCTTGATAGAGGTTACCTGAGGATGTCTATCTCATATGTGAGATAGTGCAGACGGTTGCATCTGGGCGCTATATAGAGTAGCCGGGTGAGGTTATTACAACTACTTAAATAGGTTAAATATATTAGCAAATTTATAAGACCATAATTTTTCGTAATAATTTACGGAACGTAAAATAGCCGTAATATTATGTAAGAAATTGTGAAATATTGCAAAATATCTTATTACGAAATATTACGTAAGTTATTTGCGCAATATTTTGCAATATTTTACATAATATTACGGCAATTTTACATTAAGTAAAAAATTTTGAAATAATTCGCATACAGTACATGCTTCCCAACTCGGAATTTACAGCTGTTTTCATTATTCCTGGGACACCTATAAAAATTAGCTGAATGATTTTTCGGCCAATCTGGTTAAGTTATTTTTTTGGCATCCAATTTTTATTTGATACGTATAATATGTGTCATAAATTAAATTACTTCGTTAGTAATTAAGAATGTGGTTTTTCTGAAGCGATGAAAGTTTTTCAATACAACTATATCTTTGAAAAAGTAAAGAACCCAACTTATAGAAGAGCCACTAATATCTAAGCATCTTGAGTTGATAGGTATTGTGGTGGTAGCTAGTCCACGATATACTTGTCTTTTCTTTTTCACATCCGTTCGCTTTGCCTTGACCATTAAATTAGTATATCGCAGGCACTTCTTTATGTGCCCTGCCACGCACATAAAAGTCATAAATAAGTTAACAAAGTTATGAATGGTTACGACTTTTATGTGCATAGCAGGGGCACATAAGGAATATCTGCAATACACAAATTTAATGGTTAAGGCAAAGCGAACTAATGCAAAAGTAAAAAGACAATTATATCATGGACTAGTTACCACCATGATAATAGGTCTTCTAAAATTTTTCAAATAATTTGAATTCAACAACCATCTGATTTTAAATTACGTACGTACATATATCTGATATTATATCAATTTTTTATTGAATTTATTTTGCTGAAAAAATAACACAACTGTTTCAAAATATTCAAAATATTTCGAAATATTTTGAAATATTTCGAATCAAATTAACCGGTGGTGATAATCACCACCTGTTGTGTAACAATAAAACATTTATTTATTTATTTTTATTGTCTATTCGCTTTTTTTTTATTTCAGTATTTCTATATATTATAACTTATTTCTATATATTATAGCTGCATTTAGGCTTGACATTAGTTTTTTTTTCTTTCTTGTTTTCAGTTTTGTGTTTAGTGTTCATGATGTACTAACTCTTCATTAGTGTAATGAGCGTCGTTTGGAGTAGATTTCTCGCTTTTATATTACTAGAATCCATTCGTCATTGGTGCCGAGTTTTGATTGTGTGTTTGTTCTTGTGTTAAGTACTCTTTCTTTTTTTTGTGTTTTCAGTGTTGTGTTCGTGCAGTATTAACTAACTCTTCCTTTTAGGTAATGAGAGTCGTTTTGAGTAGATGGTCGTCTTGTCTCGCTCTGGGATACCTTCGTCGTTGGTGCCGAGTTTTGATCGTTCGTATTTGTTAATTTGCTTTTGTCTTGGTGTCGTAGTAGATTCACCATGCCGTTAGTATAGTTTTAGGTTTCTTTTTTTCGTATTTTCAGTGTTGCATTCGTGCAGTACTAACTGACTCTTCCTTTTAGGTAATGAGAGTTGTTTTGAGTAGATGGTCATCTTGTCTCGCTCTGGGATATCTTCGTCATTGGTGCTGAGTTTTGTATTTGGTACTTTGTTCTTGTCTTGGTGTTGTAGTAGATTCACCATGCCATTAGTATAGTTTTAGATTTTTTTTTCGTATTTTTAGTGTTGCGTTTGTGCAGTACTAACTAACTCTTCCTTTCAGGTAATGAGAGTCATTTTGAGTAGGTGGTTGTCTTGTCTCGCTCTGGGATACCTTCATCGTTGGTGCCGAGTTTTGATTGTTCATATTTGGTACTTTGTTCTTGTCTTGGTGTCATGGTAGTATGATTCACCATGCCATTAGTATAGTATTATGTTTTTTTTTTTCGTTTTAGGCAATGAGTCGTTTTGATAGGTGGTTGTCTTGTCTCGCTTTTATCATTACTGTGATACTTTCGTCGTTGGTGCTGAGTTTTAATTGTTCATATTAAGTACTTTGTTCTTGTCTTAGTATCGTGGTAGTATGATTCACTATGCCATTAGAGGTGGTAGCTGTAGTGAAGCAACACAAAGTGTGTTGTGTTTAATAAAGTGGTGTATGGAAGTGTATAGTT